TGCTGTGCTAATTATATACTATCCATCAAACATGTTTAGTGTGCAACCCCCAGCATCTCTGCATCTGTTAAAGCTGTCTGCAGCTGTACCTGCCTGTCTGATCTTTCCTGTTTACACAGTCCTTTACAAGAAATACTCCAATGATCTTTTATTTTTTGGGGGCTATCGAGACTCAGAAATTCCAAATAAAGAGTTTTTTCCATCGACACTGCAGTGGAGTGGCCATTGGTTCAGATAAACATGATTGGCTGTGGTGATTTAGTAATTTTCTTTATATTTAGGCCACGCTGCGACTAATGAAAAAGTTCCCCGGCTCCCACATGTTCATCAGGGGGAACGAGGCCAGTGTTTCCATGGTGATGTTTGTAACCTAGTCTGCCTCTGAGGGTCTGGGGATTGTTCTCTATTGTCCTTCACAGAAAAGATGGGAGAGAGAGGGGAAAAAAAAAGAGGGCAAATTTGAGAGAGAAAAGACGAGCTTTGCTGTCATATGCAAAGGAGAGAGGACGACCACTGCTATTAAAACGCATTCTTTTATTCTGAAAGATTCGTTTCGCTGGTGGAGAAGATTTATGGCTTAATGCAACTTTGAAATCCTGTAAGACTGCCAGTGATTTTTATAAATACACCCCCAGGTCACATTCAAGATGAGAAACTTTTATCTAATTATCTTTTTTTTTTTTTCTTTCATTCTGGCACACACCTCTCACCATGCTTACCAGCACAAAATAGAAACTGAAGTCAAATAGCCTCTGCTGCATCGCATGGTGCCCAGGTGCTGATGAATCACTTTTCCAATCTCTATAGCTCACCCAGGCCCTCTAAACTGTCCATTACAAGTGATATGCTGCAAAAAGGTTGGCTCGGGCGCGGAGGCATCTTCTTGGTATTTTGTTTACACATCACTTTCGGCTACTTCTTACCTTAATTGGAAATCTTGTCTCGTGGTTTTTTTTCTTTATAGTAAAATAGTATTCAGAAGTACGGCGCTGGGATTGCATTTTGTAGTGATTTAAAGGATAATATGGTTTTTATATCGTGTTTTCTCGCTGCTGAGTGGAGACAAGTATCAAAGTGAAGTTTGAAAATGGGCTGAGGTGGATTTTTGAAAACAAACTGCCACACATGCTTACTGGGCTTTTGTACTTTTTTTTCTTTCTTCATTATAAATTCAGGAAAGAGCCGTTCTCTGTGAAGTTTTCAAAGATGCCAAAAGCAGCTCATTGTTCCGAGTGAATGCAGCGGTGATTGGATTTTGTTTGAACAAAAGAAAAGCTTCATCAAAGTTTGGTTTTTGAGTGTTTTTTTTTAAAAGAAAAGGTACAAGACTGTTGGCTGAGACCAGACCCTGGTGTCACAGTGGACTGTAACTTTGTTTGCGTCTTTATGTCTGAGTCACAGAGGATTTTCTTTTTTTTTAACTGATGTCACATGATTAGACGTGTGGTTAAACTGTATGAATGTGCACATGTGCTTGTACACGTGACTGTAAAGACATGTGCTTCTGTACTCCCTGTTTCTTTTGTTGCAGCTGTAAGGGTGGAACTATTTGCTTTGTTATTCACTGATAGTGTTCAGTGACTTCATGTGATTCCCAATGACAACCTGTGTTACCACCGACCATCACCGGTGGCTGACCGACAGTATGAATCCTCTGGTAGCTTGTTGTCAGTGTTCTACTCTACATTAGATTCATTGTGAACAACCAGAACCTGCAGCAGGTGGAGAACTGGTTCAAGTTTACCGAGGCAGCAGAGCAGGACAAGGATGTCCTTCACCCTTCTCGGGGCAAGTGACCATAGTTGGTAACTTCCTTAGACGTTCAGTATGTCCACCCTGAGCCTCTCCTTGAGGTTGAAGAACCATGTGCACTTTGATTTAGTTTTTATAGTAGTGCCAAAATCACTACCTTACAAAAAATGTCACTAAACAAATGTTCCAGGCACTTTATAAACACTTTGCTACTGGTTTGCATTGAACTCCACTTTGATTTAGTTTTTGAGATTAGTGCCAAAACCACTACCCCAAGAAAAATGTTACTAAATGAACCTGCCAAGCACTTTATAAATACTTTGTTAATGGTTGTGTAAATATCATTACCTTAAACTAAAATGTTTCAAAATAAATGTCTTTTGCAGTTTGTTGCTTTTTCTTTTATTTACTATAAATTCCCCCCCCTTTTTTTTTTAAACCGTAGACAGGCACATTACCATATATGGTAACTTTATTAATCTGGATTTGCAACATTTTTTTAAAGTCACAAAAGTAAAAAAAATATCTTGAAATGTAATTCAATAACAATAGGGACAAATGACAAACGAGCTACATACACATGAATGCGTTGCATAAACAGAAACGCGCTGCAAAAAGCAAACGCTGCACATCGAACTGCCGTGAGACTGGGTTGGCTTTTCCCTCAACCAACGTCACTTGTCTCGCTCACCGTTGTCTGCCTCTCAGGTGAAAAGCTCACTACTGCCCCTAGAGGCCTGGGGCACGTCCGTCGCGTGACTGGATGTGAAGCGTTTTGTTTTTGCATCACATTCATGTATATGCAGCTCGTTTGTGTATAAGCACGGCATTTGCCTCCGTCGGCCACCGTAAATAAGACCCTAGGGCTGAAATTTTCATCTTCCAAGTATTTCAAGGAGTGGCCTATAAAGGGTTAATCCATCAAACTACATTTCTTAGTTATCTGTTGGTCACAAAGTACTTGGTGATAAAGATATGTGGAGTCCTTTAGTAATTAAAAAAAATTAAAAAATACTCCCCACCCCCTCCAATGTCATTGTCCATCCCTGTTTTTTCACTCTGTCATACTACAGTTTGGTTGACACTGTTCACCTGGACTAGAGAGGTGGGGGTGGTGGCCCTTTAAACACTTCTACAATGCGTGATTTATGATTAGTGAATTCTAGCTATCCTGTTTTTTGTCATTTTGTGCACATTTTGTTGAAAATGTGGTGCGTTGCTGCTGCATTGTTGCTCCAACTCAAAAGGAATAACCTAAGTTGTCGTGAAATCACACAATCAGTGATAAATATAAAAGGAATGAAGTGTAGCGTTTGCTTTTATGGGCACCTCTGGAGTATTGGACCAACATTTCTTTCTTTACCTGAATAAATAAATGAGCCCTATTTGATTTGGTGTAGTTAAAAGCAAACAGACTGATACCAGCACGGATGACTGCACAGCAGAACTAAATGCAGTGGGCGACTTAACTCGCTGCCTGGGTTGTGTTGCATCTCTGTCTGTCTGCGAGTTAAATCAGTCATTACCGCCTAGTGTTCGCTGACATCTTTGATATCGGCTTTATAAGATTAAGATGCAGCAATCTGTTTCTGTGTTTCCCCGAGTCATGCTTATCCATCTTTTATTCATCGCCATCATTCTTGTATTCTTATATTTATCTTTGAAGTCTTTCGGGCCTCCTGCTGAGTCTGACACAGCGTGGAGGGTATCGCTGCTACTTAGTGTATTCAGAAGACATCAGCATGACGCTGAGGATGTTTGACATCCCAAATATTTCTGACTCCGTCTCTTCCCAAATAGACACAGATAAAACCCCTCCCCGCGCTAACATTAAACGAATCAACTTTTTTTGCGTACATTATAGGCTCTTTGATTCACTTTCATTCACTGAGCTGGCCAAAAAAACCCTCTTTTTTTCTCTCTCTCTACATTTATATCTGTATGTCTGATCGTCTTGTAGTTTATCAAAGTAAAGTTTAACAGAAATGGTGACTCATATTTTTATTACTTTCTGAAGACGCTTTTGGATTTTGTCTTTAAGGGATGCGAAAAATTTAGAAAAGTACAAGCAGGTGACCATTACTGGCTTCTCACTACCTACTCTGTAAAAAAACAATCAATCATTCATTCATTCATTCATTCAACTGGTAATTTACAGTTTTTCCTGTTTTACTTTTTTGCAAATAATAACTACTAAAATCCCAGAAAAAATGTAATTAATTTTGTGGCTCAGGTGGTAGAGCAGGTCGGTCAATGATCAGAAGGTCGGCGGTTCGATTCCGCCCTGTAACCTGTGTCATGGTCGTTGTGTCCTTGGGCAAGACACTTCACCCATCTTTCCTGGTGTGAGCGTATGAATGGATTATGTGAGGTGGTGGTTGGAGGGGCAGAATGGCAGCCAGGCCTCTGTCAGTCTGCCCCAGGGCAGCTGTGGCTACAACCGTAGCTACCACCACCGGGATGAATGTGTGTGAATGAATAATTGACAGTGTAAAGCGACTTTGACTTTGACACAAACAAAAACATGCCAAAAACTACAAATAATCCCACCTTAAAAATCTGTATTTTTATAAGGAGTCATTTTTGATTTTAGTGTTTGACCATGAAATTACATTGTGTAAAAGAACAATTATCACTCTCTATATAATAGTATATATATAATACTTTATCTATATTATTGAGTTACAGATAACTAGAAGTGTTAATTTACATGTTGACTGTAAAAATGAAAAAAACTCTGCACGTATGTTACATTTGTTCTTTCACAATATGTGACCATAAAATTATCCTGTTGATCTGTGTTTAAATCAGCTAAAAACGTCATTGTCTTATATGTGTTTGCTGCGATTGTCACTGTTTTCTTAACATATTTTTTCTGTAAGTCGTGCTACAAGATTTTCACAGTTTTTCTGTTTTTGTTTTTAGCATTTTTCCCCTTACAGTTTCATATTGAGCTTGTTTAAAAGCTACTATTGACAACTTTTCACTTCCTCTTCGTAACCCCTGACCCCTTTTGAGGAGACTCTCACTTTTTCTTCTGATGTCCAGAAAATAACTTGTGCGAGTGGGATGAACACAGATGGGATGCAGTTGTTTAGACGAAAGATTCTTCTTCTTCTTATTATTATTATTCTTTGTGTTTGTGCATGTACCTGAAAAACATTCTCTTACAAATACACTACTTGCACATACTATGCCCAATTAAGTGATGATTTACTTTAATGTCTTTTTGCTTTCTGTGTCTGCAGGGACCCAGCTCGTTGGAGAATTCATCCAGTCCCAGTTTAGCCAGCACGCAGCAACCTCGAGGTCGACACAGTTTTGTCCAGGAACACTTCCAGGCTCAATACAGGTGAGACGCACAGACATGAACACCACATGTATGTTGAAAGTGTCACTGAATGTTCCTAGTTTGTGATTTTGGCTCACGTCGAATCCATTTTTTGTCCCCCCAGCTTTTCAGAATTTTCTGTCAAAAGCATAGAACTCAAAGCTCTTAGTCAGAAGTAGGACAAGAACAATTTTTGGATACTGTCTTAAGTCGCTCATCAATTATGCAGTCTGCTGGCACTATATATAATGTCCTGGGGTTGTGTTTGAATAAACAGAGTGCAACACATGCCATTATAAAAGAATATCTATTCAGCCCAGGTGAGAATGTATTTTCGCTCCTTGCGGATAAGAATCGGTACCTTGAAAAAGTAGGTCAGACAGACCTGTGAAGGATTCTGGGGATTTATCTTTAGTACTGGCTTGTGGCTCCCTTTGCTTCGTTCACGGTGGAAAGCCAGCGACGGAGGTTTTCTGGTTTAATAGACCCTCTAATGGAATTGACTCCAGACCTTTCAGAAACCTTGTCGGCAC